GGAGGAGGAGGAGGAGGAGGAGGGTGGAAAGGCTGGTGGAGAGCAAAGACTCACACAAGGTTCTTCCTGCTCAGCTCAGCAAAGGAGCCCTGTTCTGGACCACACGTGTCTCCACATATCCAGCCAGCCCTGGCCCCCTCCTCCTGCAAGGCTCTGCAGGAAGTCCCTGCTTAGGGAGACCCCAGCAGAGTACAGGTGCCAGGCTCCTGTGTTCCCTTCCAGCAGCCTCTCTGAGACCAGACCCCTACTTGCGGGCTGTCACAGCAGCTTTGCTTTATCCCCAAGGACGCTTGCCTGTATGTCTGTCTTTGGTCCAGGTGCAGCCTGTCCCTGTCCTGCTCTTTCTCTGCTTCCTCCTCTGGTTATCTTGCCTCTCCCTGTGTCTCCACCTCTCTTTCTCTGTGTGTCTGTGTTTTTCTCCAACTCTCTGGCTTTCTCCCTCTGCATGTGTCTCTGTCTTTATCTCTGTCTCTTTCTCTGCCCAGCTCTGTCTCTGTGTCTCTGTCTGTCTCTCTCTCTCTTCCTCTGTGTATCTCTGTATTAAATCATTGACTCTCATTTCTTTTCCTGCCCTCTTTGTGTGTATGTGTGTCACATACACACCCTCACGTGTCTGTCTCAGCCATGTGTTCTTTGTGTATATAATATTGACATCTGAGAAAACAACCATGTCTCCCTTTCCCATCCCTCTGCTGGTCCCTGACTCAGACCCTTGGGCAAAGCTCTCTGCACTGCTTCTTTAAATCCTGAGATTTTGGAGCCCTTTGTGGTGACAGCAGTACTTCGCGGAAACATACATCCCCACGTGCTCAGCAGTGGTAACCACCTAAGGTCTGGAACTCAACATTCCATAAACATGCTCCCTTCTTTCCTTTCCCTGAAAGCTCCAGAAGGGCTACTAGTTCATCAGGGGCTTGGAAACTGCCTACACTGGACCCCCAGTGCCTTGGAGCAATATCGAGGAGAGGGGCCTAGGAAGAGAAGGCCATTAGGAAGGTTTCCTCTGTCTGCCTCCTGCAGCGGAGTCTCCTTGGTGGGCGGGTCTCCTCCCCTGAATTCTGCTCACCAGATTGAGCAGCCCAGACAGCCGTTTAACCTGAGGATCAGGGGGCAGCCAGGCGTTATCTACCACCTGGCTGCCTTCCCTCCGCCTGGCTGGCTTCACCTTCCCTTACCCCCTCTGACAGGAGGGGCCAAGCCCAGAGCACCCCTAGGATTTAAAATGTAAAGAGTCCTGCAACAGCCCCCTCTTTTTTTTAAATGAGTGAAACTCAACTCCAATTCCTTATTGATAACATATACTAAAGGGCACATCCTGAGACACAGAAGATGAGAGTGACAGCCCATCAATTTGGTTGTGCACAGTGAGCGTGCTCACTGTCTCTCTCTCTCACACACACACACACACCAGCGTGCATATCAAAGCCATCTTGTGAATCTTCAGTTGATTAAAGATGAGGATTGAAATACATCTTAATAACCAGAAAATAACTTACAATCTAACATCTTGATTGTACTAGATTTCAAAGGGCAGCAAGATGTGTTGAAATGCACATATCTAATCACCAGGGGAATTAACAGATTTGCAAAAGTTATGCTTGAGAACATTATGTGTAGCTCTAACACAGCATAATCAAATTCCCATTTAATTTTATTAATGCTAAAATTCAGCCTATATGCACATTACCGTTCTTCCTAATATTAATTTTGGGGGTTACTGAGAGAGCACATTTTAAATGTTTTCTTTCTCAAAGATATTTTTAAATCAAAATCATATGCATTAATACCTTATTGTTCAATTCAATAAGAGCATCCCCCCCCTTTCTGTTACCCTTGATTCCATGCACCAAGCTGGTTAAGGGAAGCAGAGCAGACGGTTGGTTCTGAAGGCCTCAGGCTGCCTGTCGTGGTGCTGGTGACACACGTGCTCCTGGCTGCTACTTTTCTCCTCTCCCTTTTCTTTCTCTGCTCCCACCCCCAGCCTCTCTGTAGGTGATGTTTACGCATTAGCCCATTGTCTTTGCCCACCACCAAGGGCCTGCCTGATTTACCTCTGCCTCTGCAGCTGTCCTGACCTTGTAACTCAGAAAACACGGAATCCAGAATATTCTGCCTTTCACCAGAGACGTCCATGGCTACAGTCCCATCCTGGCTGATCCATACTGGTGAGAGGTGACTGATGTGAAGCAGACTTTAAATTGTAAAACGTGAGACCCCCCCCCCCCATAAGAACTGCATGACGATTTTAGAAAGTCTAGAAAGGAAAGGTGTGGAATTGATCAGCAGGAGCTCGGTACTGCCATAGTGTTTTTATCTAACAGATGCTAAAGTTGGACACACAGAAACCAGCATATGCATCCATTTATTGTGACTGGGCTTAATATCCGGGTCAGTGGCTATGTAGGGTAAATAAGAGAACAGAGATGCGGTGGCAGGTGGCCAGAAGTCTTTCCATGAAAGAAGGGAAGGGCTGTTTTACTAAAATCACCTAGCAGAGTTTAAAATACCATTCATAGAATAGTTTCACACTGGTCAGTGCACTTTTCCTGTTAACTGGAGCTACATAGATGCAGTGAGGAGATTTGCATTCAAGTTTTGTTTTTCCTACTATCTCACCCTCAAACCTTCAGCAAGGAGCCACTCTGAGCTTTTAACTAGGCTGTTGTGCAGTCATTCCTAATCAAGATTTTCAGAATTGTTTATATCATTTATTGCAAAAGGCACTGTTTACCTCAGTGTTCTGTAAATATAAAAAATTACACATATATGAGGTGCTACACATATATAAGGAGCTATAGCTATTTATTAACACAATTCTGGATATAGTCACTCTTTTTCCTTACCTAAAAATTAGTGCACTGTCCAAGCACTAATTCTGCAGAATGCCTACAAGGCTACATTTTTATTTGTAAAATTAGCTGTTTAGTAACTGAGTCTAAGCAATATGTTATTTATAAAGATACCAAACATATTAAAATACAAAGAATGTACAGGTCTTCAGAATCATGGAGACCCAGGATCTTATCCCAAGTTGGCCACTTATAAGCTAGATGATCTCGCATATTCAAACTGCCAGTGGTTCTGCTACCTCAAAAGGAAAGGAAGAGAATGAGAGAATTATATTCCGTGCTTTACTGGGAGATATGCAAAATCAGGACATAAAGACACGTGGTATTGGCCAAGAACCCCTTAGATGCAAATATCAGAAGCCAAATTTGTGTTTGTTCAAGGAATTTGTTGCTTCTATAACATTATAGTTAAGGGATTAAGGGAAGAAGTGTGGGAGAAAGGAAGAGAAAGGGTGGAGGGAGAGACAGAAACAGAGATGAGATGGCTTGGTTAATAGACCACGCCTTGGATCCTACACCCATTGCTGTGACCTAGAAGTCTATGCAGTGATTCAAGTTCCCTTCAAGTCATACAGGTTAAAGGAAGAGTCAGTTCTCCCAAAGAAGGGATATCAGGCAAACAAAGCAATATCTATCCCTGCATTCTACCTAAGTCAACCCAGCACCCATGTAACTGCCATTTGCTTTATACCCACTGAAATCATTCTCTCACCTGACACGGACACTTACAACCTACTCTCCTCCTTTCCAGAGGAAGCCCACACAAAGGCAGTCCTAGCCTTTCGAGTGGCTCCAAGTCCAAGCTTTCTGGGTAAGATATTTTTGCCTTAGATGTCTTAACTCTGTTTATGTGATAACTGCACATGAAATGTCTAGTCGGAAAGGGGAAACAGCATCCACCGCCCATCAGAGCACAGGACAGCGCTGTTGGAGAGAGCTCTCAAAGCTCTCTCTCTCCCACACCCAGGCCCTGCAGGTGCAACCCTTCTTCAGGCAACTCACAAGCAGGTCCCGGAATGATCACACTTACCCATTTGCTTCTCTGAGAACACCTGAGAAGGTGGGCTTTTCCCCCCTGCCCTGAAGGAGGAGTCACTTCAGCAGCTCCTTTCATCTGGTTAAATCTCCAGGCCTGGATGATTGCTTTATAAATGAATTGATCACAATGCGCTGTCTGCCAGGCTAGGGCTTTCTCTGCAAACACACTGCCTTCCTGGGCAGCTGCTCTGCTTCATTTCTGGAATCTTCTCATTAGTTTGCTAAGTATAGTTGCTGCCTTGGCATCCACTATTAGGCCTGACTTAAGCTGTTTGAAAGCAATTCATACCTGGTCAGCTTGGGCCTAAATTGATCCTTTCTTTGCCCATGTGGGTCTTTGAGATATGCCTTGCTTCTTCCTCCCACCGACCCAAACAACATACTCCACAGCTGTAGAGCCTCAACCCTAGGTCTTACCACAGTCTGTAAATAAGTTTGCCCTCTGCCCGTGTTTTCCTTAAACCAGCCAATCCACTGCCTGAGAGAAGGCCTGTAGGGCAATACCCACGAGCCCATAAAGGAGCTCGGTCCCAAAGCCTTTCGTCCCTTGCTCTCTACTTGTTATTTGAGCTCTCTGCCGACTTAAGACTCTGTCCAGCCTCCTGGCCACACCTGGATACCCCCAAATTCTCTGGAAACCGTAATTGGACACGCAGAAGACTGGAAACTGTAAGTGATCAATTTCTTCTATTTCCTGCATTTTGGTCTCAAAGTTTCAACTCCATGGTGTCTCCCCTGAAAACCGTGCCTCAGCCAAACTTGGAGCCTGTTCAGGGTTTCCTCAGAAAGTGGCTCTGTGGGCTGACAGCCACTGTCAAGGGAAAGACCTCATGGCTAAGTTAGAAAATAATAACATAACAATAAAAATCACATCAAATCTTTTTTTTTTTTTTGGTACCAGGGATCGAACTTGGGTCCTTGTGCTTGCGAGGCAGGCGGTGGAACCACTGAGCTAAATCCCCGGGCCTACAACAAATCATATTCTAATAACCAACACCAAACTTCTTGTTGAATTATTTTTACTGGAAGGAACCTGTCTTTGCACATTTGTCTCTTAGCAACAGAATTTGGTGCTCCTGTTCTGATAGCCTGGGGCTTACTGAATTCTAGCTTGTGACTGGGAGCAATGGGAGGCATGTTTGTTGGAGCGAGGCGGGGCTAGTTTTATCCTAACCTTCTCCTCTCTCTCCTCTCCCTGTTGATACCCAGTGGTCAGAGTTTTACAGGCAGGAAGGCCAAAGCAGTCAGTACAATTTGTAAACACTATAAATTGGGCTTGTGTATATTTTTAAAGTGTTCTGTGATAGCTTTTGAATGTGCCTGCTTGGCTACATAGAACTATAGCTCCCAGAATTCCTCATGCGTGATCTGAAGGGCAGAAGGAAGAGGTGAGCATTCTGCAGCCCGTGCATATTGATGCCCACCTGATAATTCCTGTATCCGTGTGAGGCAATAGCTGGCTGTAATAATGTCTCCCCTTGAGCCTCTTAGAGCTTTTTGAACTCCTGTCCAGGTGTGTGTTTACTTCCCTGATAAAAGACTTGGCTTCTGCAGAATCTCTATAAGTTAGAAACAACATGTATTAACACATATTTAAACCCATCATCATGTTCTTCAGCTCAAGCTGGGGCATCAGACACAGCCTTATAAAGCCCGCGTGATCAGCTCCCAATGTTGCATACAATCAAATCATTATAATGTATGTATATAGTTGCATATGTGTGTGGGACATTTGTATATATGTATAGCTATCCTTGGCTATTTATGTTACTGTTTCTACTTATATGATTGAACCCTGAATTTTGCGTTTTATTTTCTCTATCACCTTTATTTTAGATCTAGCTGGAAATGTTGGCTTCTTCAGTTCTATAGTGGGTTTGATTAATTCCAGAATAATCCTCAATTATAGCTCAGGATCCATTTCCCCTTTCTTAGAGGAGTTGGCAGATTGGCCTTTTCCATGTACTGGTGGTGATTGTTAGACATAGTTCTACATCTTTCCAGATTATCTGGTTCTTGTAATTCCACCATTCTTGGTATGTTAGTACCAAAGTAACAGCATCTGAATTTTATTACACATGATTGCAACAAGTAAGATAGCAGAAAACTCTCAGTTAATAGTTTTCTAATTTCCCTGGTGACAATGGTATGAGAATAATGAGAATCTCTAGTTGTGATGGCAGATGTGTCCTTTTACTGTCAGGCTTCCCACAAAGGGTATTTAAATGTTCATCTCAGCCAGTTTCACAACCATAATGAGTAGACTTATTGGTAGTTCCTGAACACAACTTGTTTGAATGGGTTGGATTTTCATTCTCTTGATGACCAGTGGTGACTTGGTCAGTCTCTTCAGGTGTGTAAATCAGCCCAATTCAGGGTTGACACAGGATGATGTGCTTTCTACCATATCAGCCGTTACTGAGGACTGGTCAAGCCCCACAGCTGTCTGTTTGAGGGGTACGGTGAAGGATGCAAGACAAAGACAATTTTGTAGATAAATGGAGGGTTGGGAGTCAGTGGCTCAGATTAGGTAAAAGACAAAGACTCTCTACACTTGCCACTATTTATCGAGTACATAGAAGCAATCAGAGAGGGTGGTGAGTGACTCAGGAACAGCTATTGTGGGAGCTATGGGCTGGTAGAATATAAGTTAATAGGGAACCCGAGTCTTCCCCTCAAGTGGGACTTTAACCTTTACTCCATTGCTCTGAAGAGTCAGGTCCTCAGCAGAGGTTAGCTTTCCCTGTGAGCATCACGGCTTTATGGATCTTCCACCATGACCAGGAAGAAGTGTAGTCTCCACATACCAACTGGCTCACAAGGCAGTGTATCAGCTTCTTACTCTCCTAGCCTTAATTCACAGATTGTGGGCCTCTGCAAGCTGTGTTCTCAAGTCCCCATATATGTACATTACTTGTAGTACTTACAGCTTGATAAAGTTGAACTCAAATTGTCACTAAACCAACAAGCATAGGGGACATCTGTAGGGATACCTAGTAGTTGTCCATGAAAGGAAATGGTTTGTCTCATCTTTTGGCCAGTAACTGCCTTTAAGTCTTAGGCTTTAAATTTAACTGCATGAAATTACCACTTTTGTAAGGAAAGTATCATATATTGGCAACCTCATATACTAACCTAATAGAAAGTCTTTAACTTGGTGTGTATGATTTGAATATTTATAAGGAGATACAGCAAGTTAACAAAAAATAAGCTCAGAGTTCTTTAAGTGAAGAAAACAATTATGAAGAACAAAACCATCTTTGCTACCAAGCAATTATTTAGGGAGGATGGAAATAGAAATTTAAAAAGATTTTTCCTCCAAGAGGTCAGAGCTGGTCATGAGGAAATTAAGAAAAATTTTAGTCCAGATTTTCAATAAATTAGATTAACTTCAATATTAGTTTATGTATTTTTGAGAAATTTCCCTGCTTGAATATAAAGTATGTTCTCATCGCACTTCCTAATAATTTAGCTGTCAAGATGACCAAAGCAAAAAGAATATTAAGACTCTGCCCACCCACACCTTTGCAACTCAAATGGGGCTTGCAGTAACTATAGTTTCTCTCTTATTTTTAAAAATAAATATATTTTAAATTTTGGATTTGGACTATGAAGTTTGGTGTCTACTTCTCTCCTATCATAACTTCCTTTTCAACTTAATGGAGCCCATATTCTGTCAGCTATGGCTTTAGCCGAAGTTATTTGCCTCTAGGTGACGAAGAGTGGATAGTAAGTCCCCCATGAAAGAGCTACCAAAGAGTTTAGTTAAGATGCCAGCGTATGTGATGTACTTTAAGCAGGTGCCTCCTATATAATAGGTAAGATTTTCTCCTACACATTTTAAAAGGAAAAATGACATCATTCCATAGCATGAGCTTTTAAAATAAAAAATCCCCAAAGCCTTTTGTATCTTCAACTGTCAACAAACTGGGAAGGCTCAGACACAACATCTGAAAGTCTGTCTTTCAGGCTGGAGTAAGGAGGAAAATCCTGGAGCCAAACAAGTCCATCTTCGCCTTAGCTGGACCTCAGCCATGAGCTGGGCTGTGTTGGGCATCATCCTGCAGAAAGGGCTGCTGAAAGCTGAGAGGCACTCGGAGCTCCAGCCAAGCGAGTGGGTTTAGGGCCACACTCAGATCCACCAGGGTACCTGTGGCAGGGAGAGAAGCAGAACAATCTGGGAGAATGTCATGGGGTTTTGAGAAACTAGCAACATGGAGAGTTTATTTTTTAAATCTGCAGGTATTAAAACGATATGAAATTTCATTTTACACATACAGGTAAAATCTGCATGATACATCCATCTTCATAACAAATGAGTACATACTTCAGGCAGATAAACGGGATGTGCTCTTACTTCTGATGCCCCAAGATTCTAGGGGCAGGAGCTAAGCTAATGAATGTAAGGGCTATGACTAGGGTTATGTGTGACTAACAAGTTGTATTAAATGGAAGATTTTCCTTGTGCAACCAAAACCCATATTTTTTCCACCGTTCTCTACCAGCCATTGCCCTTCATATGTATTCTGTGGGACTAGATTTCATCCATGCCTTAGATAAAAATCAAAGGTCGGTATCATAACTTTACTAGCCACTCTTACAAAACATGCTCCAGTGATGATATTCTTTAAAAATAGCCTTGCTCCAGTAATTGGCCCATTCAGTATAATAATATTTGAAAATGATCAGAGTTAAAACCCCTCACCACACTAGGCTGAACTTACAGGCAAGAAGGTGGGATTTGGTGGGTGCTCTTCTCTACACCTTGGCCATCTCCTCCTCCGCTCTTTGCCTAATAACTTTTCTCATTTCCAATGGTCATTTGGGTTTTTTGTTTTGTTTGTAAAATTAGGAACAGAACCCAGGGCCTGTGGTGCACATCTGCAATCCCAGCATTCCAGGAGGCAGAGGCAGGAGGATCACCATGAGTTTGAGTCCTGACTGTGCTTCCTAGTGAGTTCAAGGCCAGCCTGAACTACATAGTGAGATGGATACAAACTAAAATAAACTTAGACATGGTGGTAAGCAGGAAGGACAGGAGATCAGGGACCAGAGAGTTCTGTCTCATTAGTGGATTGAAGCCAAAGTTGAAGATGTATCCTCCCACACACCCTGGGCACTTTCAGATACTCCCCTCCCCAGATTGGGTTGGGGGCCCTCACCCCACTTCTGCTTTTTTCAGCCTGAACATTTGGAGGTTCACCTCCAGCCCCTTACTGATGGGGCCCGCTCCTCCCCATGCGAGCGACCTGCCAGCGGACTCTTGCACCCCCACCCTCCGCTGTGGAGGGTTTTTATCTCCCAACCTCAGATGTTCACTTGGCTGCCCAAGCTTCTAAGGCTGTCTCCAGCCTCCAGAGCTTCTTTACAGCTGAGCCAGGTAGTGTAGACTCCAGGCTCAAGCATCAACTTCCCCACCTTGAAATTCACAGGATACAAGAGAACGCCCGCCAGTCCCAAGCTTCCCTCATCTGCCTCTCTCTGGGCTCCCACAAACTGGAGGTAGGTGATCAGTTATGGGTACTACTCGCCTCCTGTACAAATCTTGCTTAGATTGTCTTTAGAATAGAAAGTACTGTAATTGGGGCTGGGGATTTAGCTCAGTGGTTCTGGCGCCTGCCTCACAAGCGTAAGGTCCCAAGTTCCATCCCCGGTACCAAAAAAGAAAGTACTGTAATTGGTACTTAGATTCTCAGGACATCAGTAGAAAGAGTACATCCCATTTTATCTGCCTGAAATACATAGTCACTTATAACTATGAAGATGGATATTACCCACATCTTTCCCAATGTGTGTAAAATGAAGTTTGATATCTTTTTAATACCTGAAAATATTTTTATTGCAAGGTCCCTGTTGAGTAAGCATTTGGTGCAATATAAAGTTCCATCACATTTGCTTTTAATGACCTAATTATGGCATTTGAGCCTCTGCAGGGCTGATTGTTAAAAAATTAATATCCCTCCAAGTGCACTCCCGTTATTTGGGGGGATCTTAAACCTGTATGTGTTCCACAGCCTCCATGCTACACCGGGGCTGCTCCTGGCTCCTCTCCCACCTGTCCACACCTGCTGTCCGTGGGGCCACAGCCTGGTTATTACTGCTCTCCGTGGATCTGCATGCAGGAAGCCAGATGCTCCCAAAACTTCTAGTCTACCTTGCCAACACCACTGTTCTAACAGGGACAGAGGGATAGCTTCTCTCTGGCTTAACATCAACTGCTTTGCTCAGTGTGGCTTGGATTCTGCCTCACAGATCTCCCCCAGACAAGTCTGCCAGTTTCACAGCATGGCCCTCCTGAAATTTTTTCAAATATTTAAACAGTATCTTCAGTTTCTCTCCATGCTCTCCTCTGAGGGTACTTAAGTCTAGATTCTGAAGCTGGACAAGTGTCAGGACTTTCATGAGGTGACTTGAAGTTCCAATATTGGCTTGGGGAATGCACCAATGTGCCTGAAGATCAAGGCAAGGAGCATCCAGAGGCTGCAGTCATGTAAGCCACGAGTCAAGAGGCCCTTTTACTCTTTAACAGGAACAGTTTAACCAGCTTCTCACATTTTGTCTTTGCCGGTTTCAAAAGTGTATATGTGGCTTTCTCAAATCTAGACATGATAAGTGACAGGGATTAAGACTGGATTGGGTTTAGCAACATAAAATATAACAGATCTCCATTTTTTCAGAGAAGATGCCATTATCGGAGCCTTTTTGGGAGATGAGGAAACTAAGGCATAGAGTCAGTAATGAAGCTGGCCATTGGCTAGGCTGGGGTTTGAACTCCTGTAAACTAGATCTTAACCAGTATGTTTCACAGGTTCTTCCATAAAATGGCCAGAGACTATGCTGGTCATTCAGGGATGAAGCAATGACTGAAAAAGCTATTGCTTTTGACTTCAGTGTTTAGTTCAACCATACCTTTCTATCACTTGAAAGTGGTCCATTGACTGTATGGCACAATCTCCTTAATGGATAAGAACAGGTGTTTACTTGGTCCAAGTTGGTTCACCCTGGAGTTGGGATTTGGATCCCACAGAAGAGCTGCCCCAGTGCCCACAGCTTAAATTATTCTCCCCATTTCCTTCCTGTGGGGTTTTTCTCAAGTCAAGGGTAGCGTTGTCGTATCAGAAACATTTCCAGTGACCACAGGTATAAGAGTCAGGTAGCTCTCAACTTCATTTCCAATGGAAACAGTTTATCTTCAGCCTCAAACATTCATTATCTTCCACTCATGCCTTTTTGCTGTACTGAGACATCTAACAAAACTGTTTAATCGCTTAATAGTTTGCACTATTGACCTCTAACTGAGGTTACTTTGTCCCGATGTCCAGTTAATGCTACTTTAAGCATCCTAACTAATCTTGTCAAGAGTGAAAATATGCAGCTCCCATTTGACATCTTACAGAAGAGAGCCAGCACTTTTTCCTGCCATAATCCCTGCAATCCTCTAACGTGTTAGTTGGGGCACACCTCACTGGAGCAAAGGGCCAGGTAACCCCGATAAAGAATATCTGATTGTCTGAAGTCTCCCTACTTCTCTAGAAATGGAGCTTCTTTAAAGCCTGCCTTTGTATCCCATTTTCTACTTACCAACCAGAGTTCGGGAACTGTATCTCTTCTGTAGCTGGGGCCCTTGCATTCACCCTTCCCAGGAACAGTAAAGAAAACTTGGGTTCCAAGAAAGAATTCTGGGGGTCTCAGTGGACAGTTGTACTTCAGAGCACAAGATCCCAGAGTCCTGACTTGAAATCATGCCTAGGACATTCAGCCTGGTTATGACTAGGTCATTCTTGTGCCCTTCTTGGTGGCAGGTGAGCCCATGACAATGAATGATACCTTGCAAATTCTTGTTTCTGTTCATCCACTCCTACTCTCTCCTCCTGCTCATTCACTTGGACACTTTTCTTTCATCCCAGGCAGATGTGCAGCATATATTTCATATGCTGTGGAGGACTTGGGCTTCTTTGAGAAACAATGGCAAAGTTCTGAGGAACTACAATGAAGAGATGGAGACATGGAGTGAAGAGAGGAGCATTAGGGGTAAGATATTTGGGAGATAATAGGGAAGCATTGGGGATTTAAGAGATCCCTGGGCTAGAAAAAAAAATCTAACTTTTTCCTTTTCCTTTTGTCATAACTTGAACTGCAAGCATTTGATTTGGCTCTGTATAGGAAATATAGTTCATACCAGAGAAGCCCTTATTTCTAATATTTAACCACAAAAGAAGTATAAAAACAGGTATGTGTGAGGGTCAGTTTTATGGGTCTGCTTGTGTAGTTTGATGTCTCAGTTATTAATACTGAGGGTTGCTGTGAACATTTATTTTGTAGATGTGATATCTACACTAGGGCCGGGGATTTAGCTCAGTGGTTCTACCGCCTCCCTTGCAAGCACAAGGACCTGAGTTCGAGCCTCTTTACCAAAAGCAAAACAAAAAGCAAATATCTACACTAAATTGAGTTTATAGAAGCGTTTATGCTGGATAATCTATGAGGGCCCCATCTACTTGGTTTAAGGGACTTCAGAAGAGAACTGTGAGGAGGAGGAAGAAAGTCTGCCAGTGGATACTGAGTTGGATCTCCATCTTCTCTCTTTCCTCCTCTTTACCATGGTCCCACCCCACCTTCACCTTTGACCATGTGCGCAGCAGCAGGGCATGAGCATACATTTTTGTTCTGGCTGGAAACGCTTCATTAACTTACATGCAGCAACCTAGAAACTTCATTGTACTTTATCCAGAGGTCTTTCCCACTCACTCTGGGTTCAAGATCTTTCTATGGAAGCTTGCAGCTTAGTGTGATATCCTACTGTAATTTACCCACAAAAGTCAACATCAGTCTCATCCTTTCTTTACCAAAGGTCACAAGGAAATGGGACAGACTCTTCCCTTCTAAGAGTATAAGGTGTACAAACCGAACCTCACCATGTTTTTACCAAATTCCCCCCTTCCTTCCAAAGAGCTGTTATCAAATTGGCTCAGTTATATTCAGTATTCCAAAACATGTTAGATTTGCCATTTCCACAAAAGATAGAGGCTTGGTAGGAAGAGTCCTCAGGATTCCTGACAACACAGATGCAGTCAGTCACCACTCCTGAGAATTATCCTGCTAGCCTAACCTTGCTCTGGGTCCCACCAGTCTTCATTAACTCCAAGAAATCTTGACATCAGACCAACTGACAGTCTTGGGATTCCTCTGTCTTTCTACCTAAATTGTACAGGCCTCATTTCATGGCTCTGAATCAAATCAGACACAGGCACACACGTTTTATCCCAGAAGTTAGATTTCAATAGAGTGGTAGAATCTCCTCCTACTGTCTCTGGTCTTCTAGCCTGAGGCTGTTCATGGTGCCTGCTTACCCAGGGACACTCTTGGTGCTTAGGAACCTTTGCTTAATGGTATTTTGTGCATTTCTCACTTCTACTTCCATTATCAACTTCCTGAAGCTTTCTATTTTGGACAGATATCATTCAATAGGGATAATGCGACCTTATGGTTTATTGTCCAAAACCAAGCATGAAAGGGAAAGCTATGGAGAGTTATGCCAGGTTGACACATGCATATCCCAACTGTCCTGAGTAAACCTGGATGTACTCTATAAATATGTACTATGTGGGACAGAAGAAAACCGTTTACTGTTGTTCTTCTACTGTTCAGCTTCTTGCAGTCTGTAGCTTAGACCTGCTTAGTCTCGGATTAGAGGTCCATCTTAGGTCTAAAGAGACAGACCCAGATGTTGTGGCCATACAGAAAATAGCATAGTAATTCTATCTAAAGAACATTAAGAGCTAAATATCTTAAGAGTAAGATCTCATTTTAACTGTATATGGAGTAGATACTTATTCCCATTCATTTGGCAGGTGAGACAACTGAGGCAGCGCAAGCCTAAGTAGCTTGTGCAGGGTCACAGAGGTGGCTGCTTTTCAGGAAGACAAGGGCCCCCAGCTACCCTACATACAAACTATTATTACAGGCTTCTCATGATCTACAGCAGTGATCAGCAAATTGTATATATAAAAGGCTAGTAAGTAAATATTTTAGGTTTTCAGGGACATATGGTCTCTATGGCAACCACTTGCTTCTGCCATTGTTAGCATGAAAGCAGCCAGAACAGCGTGTAAACATGGCTGTGTTTCAATAAAACTTTATCCACAAAGGCTCCTGCCATTTGATTGAGCTGGGTGATGAAACTATAAATTCTTGTCTAGCATTCAGGTCTCCTTAGGTCAAGTCCTCAGGGCAAATTGTTTCTGAAAATAATTTGTAGAAAATACTTTTAGGCTGGACATCCATGAATGTGGAGAAAAGGGAATGCAAAGATGCCAGGGGGCTGAGAGCAGGAGAAGATCTAAGGTATAGAAATAGTCACCCCACTTCACTCACCCCTCCTTCTACCCAGAGGTAGAAAATCCCATTTCAAAGTAGGTTTGGCATGTGTGTATGGGAAAACTGTTGCTAATTTATAACTGATGAAATAATAAACTTCCAGGGACTTCTTGGAACTTCCCTTGTTAATTCCAAATATTCCAGTAATGAGGTTCCAGAATCAGCCCCCGTGATCAGGAAGTCAGGACACTGCTACCACGGGACGTAATGAGTAAGCCTTAAGTCCCGAAGTTTGATTATTTTTGGAGTGAATCAAGAGGCCAAGAAATATACTTTGCAGGAGGGAAAAGGTAATTGGAGCCTCCAGACTAGCAAATGTAGAACAAACGCGAACTCTGTTCATAAATTTTCAGTTCTAAGCTTGAGAAGTTTCTCAAAGAAATGGGAAAAGAAAGAGCCAAAGAAAAGAGTGTAGCTCCTCTGAGAAATCAAGCAGGCAGCAGGCTGCGAGGAGGGCCAGGAACCAGAACACTAAAACCCCCTCCTCAGGGTCCCCAGCCAAGACCAGTTCCTTCTCTCTCTAAGGAGAGAAATCCCACGGGAGTGAACATACACCACTGGGAGACAGCTGGTAGAATCCTAACCAAAGGTAGCAAAACTATGGACAAATCCAGTGAAATTTTCCACCAGAGTAGGAGTTAAATGTTAGCCTTGGAAGCTTTGTGTGATGGTGCACATCTGTAATACCAGCAATCTGGAAGACCAAGGTAGAGTCGCAAGTTCAACTCCAGCCTGGGAAAATTAGTGACTTCGTGAGAACTGTCTCAAAATTTAAAAAATAATAAAATAAGGGGTTGGATATTCAATCTCCATTACTGCTAAAAAAATTGCACTCAAAATCTTTAATGAACAAGATGAATTATGAAAAAATGTTGGTTCTTGAAACCTTTTTTTTTTTTTTTTGTTACTGGGGATCAAGCTCAGCACCTTGCGCTTGCAAGGCATTTGGCAGCACCACTGAGCTAAATTCCTGGCCTAGCTCTTGAAACTTTTCTTAGATGAATTTAAAGGAATCTAATTACAACTCAAAATATTTCTTAAAGTCAGGCCTTGGCAATGACCTGTTCCAGGAACTGTGTTTCTTTTGTTGTGTGAAGATCAGAGTGCACTTAGCTGCAAACCTAGTTTCCTGTTAATCAGTTCACTTGACTGATGAAGAGATAGAAAATACATGATGGATAAGGGCTGCACTATTTTACAGTAAACTTTTTCAGCAAGTGTAAGGAGTGTATTCTAAAACAGTTTATAGTACACTAAATACCTAAGCCAGTGAGAGTCATTTATTATCATTATCGATATTCTGAATTGTACCTAATGATATGGGCTCTGCCTTCTATGCAATTGGCAGGACAGGTTTATTCACAACAATGTCACCAGCCACAGACTTTTATGACTTTACAGTGGCTACCATGCCCCTAGAAAATAGAGGGGTCTTTCAGCTTGCTTAAGATTTCATAGAATAACCATCATATACACGGCTTGTTGTTGATCAAGGGTTATGCAGTACCTGCCTGCAGTTATTCTGTAAGAAAAGTTTGAATCAGACATTTGACCTGTCCCAACATCCTTTCCTGTTTCCCTGATTCCCCTCACCAGAAGCACCTGCTTTAAATGTTATAGCTATCTCTGTGTGCATGTAGACCTCTGTATGTAATGTACCTTGAAAAGAAAAAAATATGGCAGCATACTTTCTACATTTTTCAGCTTTTTTCATTTAATGATATCTCTTAGATTTCCATTCATATCAGTTTATATAGAATAAGCTTATTCTTTGGTTTTTACTTTTTTCCAAAGGGTTCAAACATGTTAATGTATTATAATTTATTTTTCTGTTCATGGATATTTTGGATTTTATAAACTTTTATTATAAAACTACTGTTCCACAAATGTCCAGGTATATATGTAATTTCTCATGTGATTTTGTGAGCAGTATAAATTCCATGAAGCAGCCAAGTCAAGGGATATATCTAGATTGAAAATTTAATAGATTTTCCAAAATTTACCTGTATAAAAAATGCCAAGTTTTATTTCCATTAGCAAAGGAGGGAAATATGCATTTTTATAGACCCTCTTCAAACTCCAAATTGATACATGTCAATCTTACATATCACAGATGTTATACCATAGTTTTAATTTGCATATTTCTTGTGATAAAGTTTATGGTGTTAACACCTCTTCATAGCTTTAACAGACATGGCATTTCCTTTCTTTAGCATCACGAAGGGGTTTATTAGGCAGAATTTTAAAGGACACACTCAGTGATGTGGATCAGTGGTGGCATACCTACAGTGCCCATGCCACAGCTGCCTGTTTATTACTGAAACCTCTAAAAGGTTCACCATCAGTAATAGCATAGGGCCTTAGAGAAGTACCCTAAGGTTTGGAGCTGGTAATTTTTATAGGTTTTTGACTGTAGAAATCTGTTGAACTTGTGACTCTATTGAAAGTTTTCTCTTTTTCTTTCTTTTTTTTTTTCTTTTTTTTGGTACCGGGGATCGAACTCAGGTCCTTGTGCTTGCAAAGCAGGCTGAGGAACCACTGAGCTAAATCCCCGGCCCTGAAAATTCTCTCTTGATCTTGGTTTATGAGCAAAAGGATAGCCTGCCCACAGAAAGATAATGGTTCATTTGACAGGTGAAAGGTAGGAGCCCTAC